CATTTTGCCATCAGTTATTGATCTAACAGAAATGCCATGTTAATAGTTAGGTCTGTTAACCTGTTAATTATCCCTAACTGACGACAATGCTCAGGTGTTTCTTTAGTCAAGTACATTTGGTAAAACAACAAAGATGAAAAACAGCTTAGCAGATGAGTTCCAACGTATGAAAAAATACTTTTGACAGGATTAAACCTATTGATTACTTGATGAGCAACGAACCCTCAGTTACTAATCCCTCTTCTTACTTACAAACATCATACATACAAAAGTAAATCATCGAACAGCGATGAAACACACGCACACAACAGACTAAATATAGCTATAATACAATCAATTCATTAGACAACTAACTAATTTGCCATCGATCAAACAGTTTATCATTACAGCTTTAACTAAGGCTATGGACATAAGGAAAACGTGTTGTGTAATGAATGGTAAACTAAAGTTATGACACTTTCAAGTGACATGAGTCAAGTTTCGTTTAGTGGTATGCATCACAGCAATTGGATATCAGACACTTTTCCTCAAAGTCCAGCTGTTGAGCGACTCTCAGCTGGTAGTGGAGTTGAAAGGTATTCTGTTAAACCAATTTGAAAGTTCAATTGGTGTCAACAAATACTGTTAAGTTTTCCTCCTGGTTTCGGTGACTCATTTAACCTCTGTTAAACTGAACAGGAGGAATCATTCGTACGTACGTAATACCACAGATAAATCATACTCCTTGCTCATCCTTATGGAACAGCTGAAGCCCATTTTATTGTTTGGTCTGTCCGGTGCATTGTAATAGTCATGTTTTGTTTAAAATTTGTTTCTTGTTATTTCAGTAACTTGTTTCACCAAATAAAACAACATAATCATAAACAATAACTCGTGCCCTAGTTATTTAGCCAAACAGTAAAGCACAAATCATTAAATTAACCCTATAATAATATAAACAAAATTTCGTCGACTTTAGCAACCAGTGTCACCAGACATGAACTAGACACAAGATTAATTAATGTTCCAGCACCCAAATCGTATAAACCAAATTAAAAATTTTAATCTTGGTTTGTCGGATACTCATCACATAAATAAAACTATACACAATAAAAAAAAGTGAACCAAATTAACAATAATGATTGTCTCACGGTGTTAGTTCACTAGGTAGAATGAAAGTGCTACTAATTAAATTTGCCTTGAATAATACGGGTTATGGATATATTTAGAGGCAAATACTGTAGCTAAGTAAATATTTTGTTTGTGTTTTTTTTTTTTCAAAAGGAAACAAAGTGACAAAAAGCTGTTAAAAATACAAAGAGATATTGAGGCTCGAGGAACTTATGAAGGTCTTAATTCAACACTCATCAAGCTTAGTAAACAATGAAACTTAGAGACAATTTGCATCCATAGAACTTTGAGATAATAATTCCACTTAGAAAAGCATTATTGAGCTGAATAATTTTCGCACCACTGTGATAGTGTTGTCACTTTTTGATTTACTTTAAAACAATAAGCAGAATATGTAGATTTGAAAACTCAATACCTACAGACCAATGCTGGATTAAAACTACAATTTATATACTATCTTTGATTATTATTGATACTATTTTAACATTACAACTACACAAAACGTTTAAGAACAAAATGTAATGTAAAAATGTATATATGTAATAAAATGAAAAGTGTATGTATGTAAAAATTCATTTAACATAAGAAGTTTAGATTTCTCCGTATACCCTTACATTATCCTTAAGGGACTAGTAAAAGTCTATTAAGTTATCATTGGGTTCAAATTCTTTTAACAATCAATTTACACTAGTAGGTAATATCCACGAGCTCGTTTTTGTAAAATAATATGTTTTAAGTTTGAATGAATTATAAAGGGTCGTAAATGATATTAGTGTGATTGAAGTCATAAATCGCATTGTTTGAAGCGCAGAGATGAATACATGCCACACAGCTGTTCAACACGTCACTGCTCTAGAACAAAGCTACAACCCTCTCCACTGTCAACTGTGTTAACCACCTCAGACTAAAGTTCATCAAGTTAAACGTTGGTTAGAATGTGTACGTTTACAACTTCTTAGCTAGGTAGTAGCTAAGGGAGTATGTTTTATCTATTTTAGTTTTAAAAATACACAGTGCCCTAACTAATTTGGCCATTGAGTATTTCATCTAACGTTGACGCTTTTCAATGACGAGATTTAAGAATTATTGACCGCGACCTTATACTCCATCTTATAACGTCAGGGTGCAGAGACAAGTTTGTCTGCTAAAGCAGCATTCCTCTCTAGCAAAATATACATCCTTGCATTGCAATAAACTTTGAAGTCCTTGAAGATTTTACATACTGGGGCGGTGGCGTCGTCCTGTAATCCAGCTACTAGGAGGTCACGAATTGTAGATATTATTAGGCATCCACTGTGGATGCGATACTCCCTCTTGTGGATTAACGTCCACACTAGTTATACTACGACTATCCGCAGTGCTGTCATGATAATTAGACCAATTCGTTAATTACAAGGAAAAAATTTGGTTTGGATTCCACTATAAACTGGAGGTCCCTTAGTTGTCATTGGCTGTATGGGCTATTAATTAACAGCTGTGTCTAAGGAATATGTCGGCCTTAGTCACTAACAAGACTATTGTAAATGCACAATTTAGAGAACCTGCTTGTAATCAATTTTCGTCCAAAGACCTACGGGTTTGTTGTGTAGCAAATGTGTGAGGTTATTTAAGCAGAAACCAGATCAATTTGAGTGCTAGCTTCCATTGCCTCCAATTACTTGACATGAACACCTCGGGCCGACCGGACCTCCTTGAGTCAGGGCGAAGTCCCGGAACGGTTTTTTTGCGGAACAGGAAACTGACCAGTGCTAACTGAATCGTATTCTTACTCTATTGAAACGAGTCCCCCTTTAGCTGCACACTTGGCGACCTTTGTACTATTGCGGAGTGAAAAACATAAATTTCAAAGTATTAATTTTTGTTTAAAAAATATTAATTTTATTACAAAGGTTATTCTTACAAAGTTACAACCGAGCTTTTGGGCTAACTGAATAACATATTAGGTTTGATGAGTTTACAAACTATTCAAAATTCAATCCTTACATGGGTTAGTTTTTGTAAAAACCAATATAAATCTTCTAAGCGTTCTGGTAAATCTAAGGGAGGAATAAACATGTAACACGTCTTGTAACAGTATACGATCACGTAATTAGATGGTGCATAAATGTAAAAATCGTCAAGTATTACAATGCACACCAGGTCATCATCATTGTGAGGCCAAATTGGAGACTCTGATAAGAATAGGCAGGTGGTAAATATGGGTATCTGATAGTAAAATCACTTCGAGGCACATATAAGCTAAAAATGTTTCTCTTATTAGATTGACAATTTCTCCATGAATCATAATGCTAGTTAGGGTCTACGTTGGATCACTTAACTTGTTAAGTAGTTAGAGGTCTGAACTCCTGTCGGGAACGCCTAGGTGCAATTTTGACCGACATCGATAGATTTTGTATACTTCAATAGTTCTATTCCAACCACCGAGAAAAAAATGGTTGTCTAACTCGTTGAAAACGATATCTCCATTGGAATTAATTTAAATAATTAACAATAACAGTAAACTTACTTTTTCCTTATCACTCATGAGTCTAACTCAAGATGTTGAATAATACGATGCTTATAACAGGCGTGAATCAGTGTTACAATTATTGAGGGGACAACAGGAAAACTTGTTGATAATAGTTGACATCAATTGATCCGTTGACCGCGGATTGTCTAAGCCGTGGAGGCCTCGAACCAAAACAAACCACACTGGCGGAAAATAGGGCGAGATATTACAATGGAAATAATATTATACTATGCGTAGTTGATATAGGATTTATAATCTTCATACCGTAAGTATAAACAAGAAGAAATATATGAAAAAAAGAATAATTATAAATACGGTGAAAACTAAATTAACGATTGACTTATACAGGGTGTCCATAAAACACGTTTCAGGACTTTGGGAAATGAATCCCCATACTAAAAGGAAGAAAAAAGTTTGTAGGAAGGTATGTCCGAAAATGCATATTTACCCAGATATCCGCTATTTTGTTTTTTATACAAAAATATTTTTATCTGTGAAGTTTTTTATTCGATGATTATGAAATTCGGTAAACATGTTAACATACACAATACCCATAGGTAATAGAAAAAATAATAAAGTTGTTCCGATTGTAATTTTCAAAATGGCGGTCGTTTGAATTTTCTAATTTAAATAACTCAAAAACGGCTATGAAATTCTATGAAAAAATGTCGAAGATACTTTTTTTAGCATTTCTAATTTCCTATCAAACAATACCAAGATCAAAAAGATCGAACAAAAGATAACTGAAATATAATGTTTTTTTGTGTAAAAATAAGGAAAAAATTAAGGGTTTCCAGACTAACTTTGCCTTATTTTTACAGAAAAAACGTTATATTTCATTTATCTTTTTTGGGACACTTAACTTGTTAAGTAGTTAGAGATCTGAACTCCTGCCGGGAACGCCTGTTTGCAATTTTGACCGTCATCGATAGAATTTACAATCGGAACAACTTTATTATTTTTTATATTATAGGTATTGTGTATGTTAACATGTTTACCAAATTTCATAATCATCGAATGAAAAACTTCACAGATAAACATTTTTGTATAAAAAACAAAATGACGGATATCTGGGTAAATATGCATTTTCGGACATACCTTCCTGTAACCTTTTTTCTTCCTTTTAGTGTGGGGATTAATTTCCCAAAGTCCTGAAACGTGTTTTATGGACACCCTGTATAACCTTTATAAACACACACAGCGGTAAATTAATTAGAAATCTAACGTGACACCATATGCGATCACATCTTATAAATAAAAAAAAAAACAAATAATAAGAAAAAATATTTATTCTTATAAAAAAATGTGGTTCTACATCAACAAGCATAATCAAAATTTTCCATGTTACCTAATATGTATTTGGCGGAATTGTATAACTTACCTAAACTGCAATACAATATGTTTCTTCAAACAGCACGATACATCTGCAAACAAGCAATATAAAGACTTAATTATTGTTGTTGCAAAAAGATTAAAACAATATAAATAAAAAATGAACTACATACTAATCTCTTTAACCAATATTCTACGTTTGGGAACAGTCGGAAAATAGCCAATTATAAAAAAATAATTGAAACAGCCATGTTAAAGGAGAATATATTACTTAAAAGAGGTTGAAGTAGTGATGAACTCTTAGGTTTTTAAGTTTTTCCGAGGCTTTATGCATCATCCTTGGTAAAGTATATTTGTGTTTGGACGCGAAAATGTCAACGTTAAAATAAAACTTCAGGGCAATACAATAATTTGATTTAATAGTTGATTTGTAAGTAACATTTAGAGTATTTAACGTCGGGTACTTCCCTAATGTAGCCTACCCACACAGATCGCGATTTAATTGTGTTGTTGTTTGCAAGGTGTTGTTGACGTCTTACAAGCAAAAAACTCAATCAAACGGTTTCGAAAAACTGGTTCAGACGCTTTGTTCTGAGAATTGTTTTCTTTTATAATAACAATTTATCACACCAGACGTCACTTACTTATTAGTGTACTTAAATACAATAATTTTGCACATATTAAACATATCCTCCCTAGAACAAATAAAACATTGTTTGCATATAAGAAAAATAAAATTCGTAGTTGTAAGTTTGTTCTCCTTTAATCAAGACCACAAAAGGCGTGTTTCAACAGAACCTTAACTGGAGGAGACATTTGGCAAAGTTTTCATTGCATATTAAATAAGTTTCGCCTTGTTGTGTTAATCTGAACATCTTCACAAAGACAATTGTGGAGTAGCTTAGGAATTTCTGTTAAAAATTAAACCTTAAATACACTCATCGCTAGCAGATAATTTCTGTTTGTGTTTTAACATATGAATTTTGAACATGCAACCTCAATATAAGTGGCACAAATTATTACGGCTAGTCAGGGGATCTATATTTTGGAGGTCCAGGTTCAATTCCTGTCAACCACGAACGTGATGATGCTAGCATCCAATAGGGGAGAGTCCACCGTTATTTTTAGATATATTTTTAAGACTAAAGGATACAGGACTTAGGTTATGATTTTGTGTGACTTTCTTGTGTTAGAGATTTTACTCCCCTAAAAGCCATACAAAACAACGTCTGGGCAGAATTGGAATCAGAAATGGACGATCGTTTACACAAGTATTAGAAAACAAAAAGATTTTTCAAAAATTTACATTGGTATTGTTATTTTTCAAACATATTTACAAGACATAGGTAACTTCAACATAGCTTTACCTAAAAGTGAGACTCTAGTATGGACCTACAGTTGACTTACAGTATTTATAACACCTTGACAATCTTGCAAAAAGTCGTTTCTACTTTTTAATCTTGTATTGCAACTTTTTTTGTCCCTTACACAAGCAGCAAGTATACCGGAGTATCAATGTCTGTCTATTGCAAGCCCGGCCATATCTGTACCTAGCTGATCAGTATGCAGTCAGCCGCAGCTTCAGCAGTAGATGGGCCTGCATTCTTCTAACCCTTGACCTTGAAGCCACCGATCACCGGCCTCACCTGTTATTACAAGGCTCTACAAACAATCAGTAAATTGCCTTAAACTTCGATTAGACTCCTTATATAACCACCTCTGGTGTGGTTAAGTTATACAACATATGATTATTGAATGGTTTCCATTAGACCAAACAAGCTAAGTTATTTATGTAATGAATTGTATGGTGAAGTATATTTACAAAATTATCATTAAGTTGACAAAACGATTGTTAGGTCAGGATTACGCGATGACAGTTGTATGTCATGTATCTATTATTCCATGTGTGCAATGAAAAATATTTCGGTGTAAAGATATTGAAAATCATGTTGGTGAACAAGGGATAACACAGGAGTTAACGGATAAATTAAATTATTATTTGGTTTTTAAACTGAGATTTAATTGTTAAATTTTTTACTGAACGGTATTAATTCTGTGATTTTTGCACCTGTACATGAACCATACTTATTAAAAAGGTTTTGAAATAGAAACTGATTTTAAATACACCGAGAAAGTTCTAAGGAATTGAAGCTAATTGTTTAAGATATGTATCACCAATAATCTTAAATAACAGACAAGTACGCTAATAAGTGACATCTAAAGTAATGAATAGAACATTATTCTCAGAACAAAATGCCAGTGTTTGGAAACCGTTCGGTTAGGATTTTTTTCTTCAGACGTCAACCACACCTTGGAAATAAGGATGTTTGTTTACGTTCATTTTATAACCGATCTATTAAAGGGCGATTCCAGCAAAGTTAATAATCTAAAAGTTACTTTAACAAAGAAATAAGTTTCAATCCTTAGCTGAAGGAGTTTAGTTAAATTCAATTCAAAATCCATTTATTTTACAAAACTACAAATGTACACAAATATGGATGTTGTTCCTTGTAACTAATACAACTAAAGCATGTATGATGGGTGTTTTATACATGCTTATGCGTCAAAAGCTTAATAAAATTAATTATGTAAATTTTAAATTCAGTAATTTAGTTTTGGTTTCATGTTCTTAGTTTCAGTAAAAAATTAGACTTGAGGCGTCTTGAACCATTCTATAAAAATGAGGAAAGTTTGGAAAGAAAGACATTTTTAATAATTATCAAGCTAAATATCAGTAATACAATTTACTATCTAAATAACTGGTACATATACCATATGTTACATCATAGCAGTATGGTATTTAGTGTAAATGTGTTTTATTGCCTACTTGTAAGAGTTTGAGGCATTCTATCCGTCAGTGTCGTTCAAGGATAAAGACTTCAAGTATTACAAGCATTACTTGTAATATTAAGTAAGAATTACAAGTATATAGTAAATAGTAATAACCAACAAAATGTGACTTAAAAAGTTAAACACCCCTCTGCTACAGTTTCAATATACACATCCACTGATAGATTCATGTCTTTATCTGGCAATGCTCAATGTAAGGACAATGACAACGGAAGTTGATGAAGTGTTCGATATCGTTGACATTGCTACATGTAGGGTCTAGAGCACGCGCTCCTAATGTAGTTAGCCTTGCACTCAGGCTATCAAGGATGGTCGGATGAAGAAACGAACTGGAGGAGTCGGATCTACCGATAAAATCATCCATTGTCCAATTCATTCTAATCCGTATAAGAAAAGATAATATTCTGCAAGATAAGTTATAGAGTTGCCATTTGTCATTGGGGTGTTAAATTTATGATGTTCTCTAGCAACAAGTACAGTACTAGATGATGAAGACCAGCGTTTGGAAAGTTCAAAAATAAGAAACTCTAAGATTTAACAAGCCAAGAAACACAGTAACATAACATTTCTGTAAACTAAGACTTAATAATAATCAATGTATTAATAGTAGGCAAGCATGTTTTTTTAAAACCTTTTTCTCAGCTCGTGTGCATCTCACGGCATACTGTTGGAAAGATATTTAACTGTGGATGTGCAGAATCCCTTTATAAAATAAAATAGGCTAAAACATAAGCACAAAATTGAATAAAACATAAAAAATTAACATTGCCCTTAGTAGTTGCCAAGCTGGTGACGAAATAACAACGAAATATAAACAGAAAATAAAAAAAATAAAATAAATTCCAATCACATGTTTATTTACAGCTTGGAGGTTAAAATAGAGAAGTCTGTACATTACATATTTTTGGTCGAATTTTTTGGACAACCTTATAGTATGAATAATAGGAGCTGGACCTACCTCTAAAATCGTCTATAATATAATCGTCCATTGTTTAATTCATCTTACCCCATACTCCAAAAAATGTATCAACTGTCTAATAATAGAAACTGATAGACGAGGACAAGAGGTACGTAGGTCAGTGGTTATAGTGCTCGCATATTAGTATAAAGGTCGCCAGTTCGATCCTGAGAAAAGAGAGTAGCTTTTTGATGGTTAGAGACTATACCCTACTGTCCTTGATCATTGGGTTTTTAATAAATGGTCCTGGCTAATGAAACAGCTGGTCTTGGTGTCGTGCCAGAAGCGACCGTGCCAGGAGCGACCCGTGCCGCTAGCGACCCACCAATTTTCTACCGTGCCGCTAGCGACCCAAGAATTTGGAGCGGGAGGCGAGTATGAATTAACGCCAAAACTAAACAGAATTTCACTATAAAACCATTAAAACGATTTGCTGTCACATTAAATACATAACAAAGTACTCTTGCGCAGCAGTCCTGCAGACTAAATTTATTCCCATTTGGGGAAGAAATAATAGTTTTTTTTATGTAAATTGTATCGTATAATTCATACGAGTATACATTTAACAACACATATCCATAAATAAAATAAGCAAACTATAACAGTTTGTAGTCTCCAGGTGCATTTATTGTAATAGGCCTATTTATTTTTTTATTCGTTCGTGTATGTGTGTGTGAAAGTTTATGGACATTTGTAAACAATGATAAGAATTTTTTTCCAACTGCAATGTTTTGACAATGGTGGATACAAGCCGAAACATGTAAACAACCTACTATTTGAGCTGTTTGTCGGATTATAAGGTATGTAAACCTTTTTATCACATTAAATATTACAGCTCAGGAGCTAGAATGGAAATGAATTATAACCAAATTACTTAAATTACAAATTACATATATTTTATACGAATGGTGTTTTTGCTCTCACGGGGCATCAAAACGAAAAATAAAATAGGTCCCGGGTCTAGGTCTTTCAATGAGACCTACAGTAACAGCTTATTCCCTAAATGGAAAAGAGTATTCTAGCACAACTAAATTAAGAAGATTTTGAGGTTTCTAGTAATAGTATGGCAGCTTACAACCCCTGATGTTGTTGACCTGCTCACGAAAAATGACTAAGACTCTACTAACTCAAAAATAATAATATGAGGCAAGAAAAGGGTAGGAATTTATTGTAGAAAAACTCTATATATTTATAATGACGAAGTTATCTATACAGCTGATGATTTAGATAAAAAAAAAACTCCCAAAAAATTAAAACGCTTATAAAAATTGTGGCTTTTGTTAT